TAAGAAATGGGATAAGGATGGAGTCTTAAGAAGACCAGATAGTTGAGGGTGGGTGGAGGGGATGGGGAAGTGGCAAAGAGCCTGGCAAGGAATTAGAAAAGGAGGTAAACAAGGGCGGAAGTGAGCCATGGAAGGCTCTTCAGCTGTGAAGGTCCTTCTCCACAATTCCTGTTGTTGGTAAGCTCCAATGGTACCCTCAGCACCCAGTTTGGTGTACCCATCCTACTCTGAGCTGCCCAAGAATTAGCATCACAACATTCTTCTTGGTCCATCTGAGCTCTTGGCCAAAATGAATCTTGTAGCAGCCTCCCTCCTTTCCTGCCTGTTGGCTCTTTGGTGATGTGGCAGCCCACAGGGTCTTGCCTCCAAAATGGCTCTATGTGGAGCACAGCTGACATCTTCTGTTTCCACACCTGGGGAGTGGGGCATATGTTTCACCATCAGCCAGGACCTGTATCACTCACTCCAAAGATATTTGCCTACATGATTCCAGGTAGCTTGAGGGTGCACCTGACAGCTCTCTTGGACATGCTGCAAGTTTGCCCTGGATAGGGGTGGCAGTGCAGGCTCAGAGCCTGACTGCTTGGCTTGCCTTTGAGGTCCATTGATGCTGAGCCATGTGACCCTGGGACCAGTGGCTGCCTCTGGGAACACTGGACTCCTCATCTGTGAAATGTGTGTGTCACGAGACTAAATGCCTTGGGGCTGGTCATGTGACAAGGGGACCAGTGACCTTGAGCCAACACTGGAAGGGGCTGGAGCATGTTGAGCACTCAATAAATTTTAGCTTTCATCTCATCTAAATAGAACAACTTCCAAAGATCCTGCTGTCTGATCAACATGACTCATCTGTGTGCCTACCAAGTACCTGGCGCTTTGCTAGGTGCTGGCCATTAAGAAAGGAAGTAGCTCCCACTGTCCCTGGGAAGGCTGGGAGTAGATGAAAAAGCGTGTGAAAGCAGATCTTGTCCAAGCCCTCCAATGTGCAATTTGAGGACAAAGGGAGGAAGTCAGTGTATGGAAGCAGTTCCCCAGCTCCCTGGGAAAATGGGAGTGGCCTGGGTTCATTGACCAGCTCCACCTGTCTCCCCAGGGTATTTATTCTCTCTGTCACCAAAAGTGAAGTTCAGCATCACCCTCAGGAGGCCTCTGGCCTTTGCTTGTACAGGTCCTAGGTTGGGATTCATGCCCCCGGGGCAGCAGCTCTGACCATAGCTGTAGAAGGAACCCCAGAAAGAGAAGGGTCAGGTCCCAGTCACAGCCACCAGAAGCATCTGAAGTACCTGTTCACACAGCACAGCTTCTGTCAATAGAGTGCATCACTGGGGCGAGGCTGAGCAGCCTCCATCAATCCTGCTATCTAACACTGGAACTCCTGTCCCTGGGGCCTCTCCTAGGGGTTGCCCTGCTCGGTCTGCATCCACCTAGCCTGTGGATCTGAGCATTCTGCCCATGACCACTCAGGACTGGCCAGGGCAGAGCCAGCCACCTGTCACCAGCCAACTCCAAGGTTCAGGTGGGATGTATGACATCAAGGAAAGGTGTGGACAAGAGATGCCTAGTGGCCCTTCATGATTCTAGTTGCTCCATCTCACTGTCAAGCTTCCCTCATGGCTTTGTTTGGACAATATGGCTGATGCTGGCCTCTGAACCCAGGATGTAAGTGATATATGAGTCTAAGTGGAGGCAGTTAAGAGCTGGTGAGCCATTGCCAACTCTCTTTCCCCTTGGGCATGACCTTGAGGGCCATGTGCTGACAGTGAGGGCAGAGCTGGCAAAGGCTTAACTGCTGGCAGCCTGGGTCACCTGTGGAAGGCCCATAAGGAAAAGTTGCCAGATCCCTTAGATTGACCCAGTAAGAAACAGCCCTTTGTTGTTCTAAGTTGCTGGAATTTGGGGGTTATTTGTCATTGCAGCATTAGTTTGTCCTATCCTTACTGATAGAGTCACATCTAGTCTATACTCCTGGGTGATCAGTTTTGAACTGTGTGCAGGCAAATGACAGTCTCTGTGCCTTAGGTCCTCCATAGGGACCACACCACTATGTAATTCATGGGGCTCTGTCAGAATTCAATGAGAAATCACACACACACACACACACACACACACACACACGTTAAGATCTTGACACATAGAAAGGACTCAGAAAACGGTGCTGCTGCCCCTACTTATTATCTACCTTGTCATTTAATGCCAGTTTAGAGATTAAGAAACCAAGGTTCAAAAAGGCCAGGTTTCCCCCATAGGCAGTACAGCTAAGAACTAACAGGGGCACCAATGAGAATGCTAGGAATGAGAAGCCAGAAGAAATTCCCAGATCTGGACGTTCTGGGGGTCAGCAGCCAGGACTGGCATCACAGCATGTGTCAGCCAGTCCACTCTGGCTTGGGGCTTTCGAGTTTCTCCAACTGGACCCAGACTTTTTCTCTTGACCTGTTTACTTACTAAATGACAGAGATATTAATCTTATCTGGAAGGTGTTAGGCTTGTTAGTGTCTAAGGCAAAGTCCTTTTAAATTCTGACTTCAAGCCTAAATCTGTGCTTTTACTCTTGTGACTTTCAAACTGCTTCTGGCTCCCAGCTGATCTTGTGTTGAGAGCAGTCCCAGGAAGGCAGCCACTGTCACTAGGTGCTATGCTCAGCACTCTAAGTCAAGGTCAAAATTGCCCAGCCCTGGGTTGAGTGAGCTCTACCACCCAGAATCAGCACATGGTGGGGCTATCTGAAAAGGGCTTTGGCTTGGAGCACAGCTGAGAGTCCCCTGTCTCCATTCCCCAGGGTATTCTGCAAGTCCCTCTTTATCACCTCCAAATGAACTGCATTTCTATGCACATCATAGCCCTCTGCCTGCAGCAATCAGGCCAGCTGGAGAGTGAGCAGCTGAATAAGGGCTCTCTGCTTCCCGAGCTGAGCAGAGTGGGGTCCTGGTTTTTCAATAACTTTGTGTTTCCCAGCCTGCCATAGCAAACCACCACAGACCTATCATAAACCAGTGGCTTATGCAGTGGGGATTTATTTTCTCACAGTCCTGGAGGCTGGGAGTCCAAAAAACAGTGTGCCAGCATGGCTGTGTTCTGGTGAGGGCCTTCTCCCTGGTCTGCAGATGTTGTGTCCTCTTGTGGTGGAGACATAAGAGAGAGAGAGTGAGAGAGCAAGAGAGCAAAAGAGAGAGAGAAAGAGAGAGAGAGAGAGAGAGAGAGAGAGAGAGAGAGAGAGAGAGAGAGAGAGAGATAGGAGAGTGAGACAGGGAGAGAGATGTTCTTGTGGACATTTTAAAGTCCTTACAGTTAAAAAGAAAGTTAGAAAGTGCCTGCTCAGAAAATTTGTACTCCATAAGGGACACTCCTGGGACTCTCCCAGGCTGTGTGACCAGGTGGGGTGTGAAGAATGGTGGGTACTGGCTTAGGCTGATGTCTGCAGGGGGTGCCTGGAGAACCCTGAAGGCGTCTTTAGATCCTTAGTGCCTTTCTGGCTAACCTCTTTCCCAAGGAGCTCAGCCTGAGGCCAGGGTGTAATGCAATGCATGGGGTGGGGTGGGTACAGGGCACCTGCTGAGCTGTCCAGGGAGAAAATGAAAATGACTGTGGTATATCGCCACCTTGTGTCTCCTTGTCCACATAGCAGCTGTGACATGTGCCTACCTGGACCAAGTGTGGGGAAGCTGGGATGGGGAAGGGAAGAGGCGATAACAAGAGAGAAAGCAGGGCTTTTGGGGGGCAGCACGCAGAAGTGATGGAGGAAAGGGCACCAGGAATTCTAGCGTTGAAGGAAGCACATGGAGAAGATGCAGAGACAATGTGAAGGCCCCAGCAGTGGGGCAGATGGCAGACAGGGGAGGGGAGGTGGCGAATACACCAGAAGGGGCTGGATCCTGATCATCCTTTTCATGGCATGGGCTGAAGTTCCTCCACTGTGTGCTCCATTTAGTCACAGCTAGATTTCTGATGGCTTCCTGTGTGCCAGGTGCTCTGCTATGCCCGTTGCCTGTGCTCACTCACAATCCTAGATACGTGAACACCCAGACATTATGCCATCACAGCTTTACCCATAAAGAAGTTGGGCACAGACAGGTTAAGCTACCGGCTCCAACTCACACAGCTGATCAGCAGGACTCAGGCTGCCTCGCATGTGTGAATCTGTACACATGACTCTGGGACTGCCTTCAGAGAGAAGGTCGCCACAGACAGACGTCTCAAGTGAACTCAGAAAAATTCCTGCAGGCTGCACATGGAGTAACTGGGCAGCAGATGGATGGGCAGGTCGCCTGGATCCCATCTTGGTCCTCCAACATTTGCCAGCCCTGCAGGGCTGTGGTGAGAGTTCAAGATCATGCCCAGGAAGGTGGTGTGCAAACTGCAAAGCACCATACAAATGGGGAGATTCCATTAACACTGACACCAGCTTTACATTACAAAGTCCTGGGTTGGTGGAGTGGTTCAAGCGGCTCCTAGCAAGTGTGAGGCCCTAAGTTCAAACCCCAGTGCTGCCCCCCCAAATACAAGGTATCATGAACCCCAGTAAAAATAAAACCAAATGAGAGGTTTGTGCCTACTTTGAACCTGACTGGTGTCCATCCCTGGGTAAGGCTGTCTCTGTCCGGGGAGTCAGACACCGCATCTGTGCATGATGGGTCTGAGTGGCTGAGCCTCCTGAAATGCTTTTTTTATGATCTTGGCCCTGCTCTGATGGCTGCTATTGTCGTTCCCATTTGTCAGATGAGATAGCTAAGGATTCAAGAGGTAGGTGACTCACCAGTCACACAGTAAGGAATGGTGCAGCTGTGAGTGGAGCCAACACTAAGGCTCTGCTCTGTCTCTTGAGTCTCTTTCTAGGTGTTTAATAGAGGAGGACATTGATCCAGAAGCCTCAGGAGATGAAATTTTGAGCCATTTCAGGACCAAAAAGATCTGCCAATTTGAAATACTCAGGGCAGCCCCAACCCAGGGCCCTGATGGAAAAACACCAAACACACCAAACGATAAAATAGCTTTTTATTCACTTTGATTTGGGTCATTGGAAATATTCAACAATAAATAAAACAAGAGCAGGAGCTTGAGGGAGGCGGACTCGCTAACATCATTCAAAATGCATTCAGATCAATCACTGCTTAGCTGCAAAATAAACACGAGAGGCGAAGGGAAAAGAAAGCAAATTTGAAACCATCACCGACACAAAATGGAGATTGCAAAGGAGGAAAGTGCTCAAGGAACTTTGGCTTTGAGGGGGATTCAGTGAAGGGATAAAGTGATTGTGCAGGGGGAAAGACAGTGACCCATGGCTACCCTAGTGTGGGAGAGTGGGGTTCCTGATGAGGCTGGAGTTAAAGCTGCCACTCAGGACCCTTGGCAGGGGGCAGCAGACAGTAGGCTAGGGCCAGGGCAGAGCTGAGTGTGTGCTGGAGTCCTGACGGCTGGAAGGAGAACAGGAGAGGGACGCACACAGGCCACCTGGGGGGATTCAGTGCTGTTTGATAAAAAAGGTTGCTGATTCCCTGAAGCTGGTTTGCATACTGCTCTGTCTGTCTTCTCCTCCCCAACCCATGTTCTTCCCACAGGTATAAGATAGCACCCAAGGGGCACAAGAATGGATTTGCTCATGACAGAGGACAAAAGCTAACTCTTGTCTAAAAACTGGCCAGCTCAGCCCACAGGGGTGAGCAGTAGCAGTCCTGTGGCATAGGGTCACCTATGCTGAAAACCAGGGGTCCACAATGGACACAATGTTTATTGTGTCCCTGAGTTCTTGATGGGAGGGGAAGAGGAGAGGTACTGGTTTCTGAGCACACACGCAGCATCTAGCCCTCTCTGGCTGGACAGTGGCCACTCAGGCCCCCCTTCCTGAGGAAGCATCTTTCGTCATAACCAAGGGAGGGAGGGAGTTCTCTCATTCCCTACTTCCCTTGTTTTCAGGCTACTTTGACAGGAAAAGGTAAAGCAAACATCACAGTTCTAAATGTTCTCATCCATCTCTAAAGGGACACCTCATTCATGGGGGTAGGGAGCAGGACTGGCCTCTACTGACCTCCTGTGACCATAGCAGACACTAGGGTTCCATCCAGGCCCCCCAGTCTGCCATTTCCCTAAAACAATCTCCAGACCCTATTGGCTCTCACTGTCTCTTGCTGGTTCCCCCATTTTATGTTTTCTTTCCTTCTCTCTGACTTCTTCCACCCAGGCCACCATTGTGGTTTGTGGATGATGCCTGGCATCTGGAAAGCCAGTATCTCAAGGTGTCAGCTTCAGGATTCCCTTCTCAGTCCTTTCCCTCTGGGAACTCAAAGGTCACAACTCTGACCTTCTTTCTCCCCTAATGTTGGGTGAGGGCAGGGGAAGACAGGGTGCCAGCTCTAGAAACTTGGTCTCCTGATTTGCTAGGAGCCCAAAGCTGGGATGGAGCTGGGATGGTGCTGCGACTCCCTGGGACCTTGGGCAGATCCTCAGTGTGCGGTTCAGCTCTGCCTTATAGGCAGTCCCTCTGCTCCCTGCCGTCCAGAGGCCAGGGTTGCAGCTTTCCAGCAAGGCCCTTCTGTCCTGCTGTCAACCAGCTCTCTCTCTTTGCAGAACCACTCCTGCCAGGCTCTCAGCCACCCACACCCCAGGGGAAGGGAAGCACCAATTGGTTAAGCTAATTGGTGCGTTTACTTCTGGATAAGAACTGGCTTTTATTCAGTTAAGTGCCCATTGCTAAGACAGTGAGACACAGGCAGTGTCTGGGGGTTATGGGAAAGGTAAACATTGGCCCCTCCACTGGAGGGTGCGTGGAGACAGAGATGGGCTTGCCCAGGGCCACTCTGTAGCCTGAAGATGGAGACCAGTGCTGAGAGGAGGAGCCAAGGGCTGACACATATGGTCTCTTAGCTTTTTGGACTCAATGAGTCTGGCTGGGTGAGCCTACCTGCGGGCATTTTAAACATGGAGTCAACACCAAACTCTTTGACTTGTGCTATTGTCACAACTGGGTCACTTTTGTAAGTCATATCCCTTATCTGAGCCTTCTTTCTCATATGTAAAATGGAGGGCAGATTTATGGGCTAGAAGATATTGTACGGCCTTAACATTCTCAGGGGAAGAAGGAAGAGTGGGAGGGGCAGATGGACCAGGCAAGGACGCAGGTGGCATCCAGCTCAGACATGGCCACAGCCTCACTTCTGGGGCCTGTTCTCACACAAAGGGACCTACAGGAAGTACACAGCTGATCCTCACCCTGTCACGCCTTTCACAGACCCAACTCTTAGCACAGGGGAGGACTTGGGGCCAACACTGCTCTGTGCCCATGTCCACCTAACTCAAGTCCATCTCTGGAATTGATTAGCTGGCCAAAAAACATCCGAGTTCTTCACAGGAGTATGGCCATGATCTCTAGCCTTCCAGCATGCCAACCCAGAACAAGGACCTCACAGCGATTCACCAGTCTCTGTCAGCCAAGAGAGTCATAAATTTGTGAAGATTATAAGACTAAAACAAGTTGTTTGGTTTTTTTTTTTCTCCCAAAAAGCCTGGATTCTGAGTCTTTGAGACTCTAACAAAAGATAACCAAAAATGCTGGTATGCACAAACTTGGGAAAATAGCAACATTGTTGTACACTTTCTGGGGACTCTTTCAGACGCCTAAGTCATGTGAGGCCCCTGATCAAGGACCCTATGCTGGTAATTCCTCCCCCCCACGCTGCAAAGGGGACTCCAAGCCAGGGAGAGCAGGACCCATGGTTCCCAGGACTGTACTTTTCATACTCAGCCAAACGCTTTCAACAGGAAAAGCGATTTCTCTGATTGAACATTATAACTGGGGGCAACAGTTACTGCCCCCTGTGCCTGCTGGGCCACTCCTCCACCCAGTTAGCTGCCACTGAGCGGGGGTAGGCCCCTAGCCTGAGTGAGACAAGCCTGCAAGAAAGAGGAAGGTCGTGCTGGAAGATGAGGTGACACGAATCATTTCACTAATTACTGGTGTCACCCTGGACCTGCACCCCAGCAACCCCCAAACAAGCACATAAGAGTTTCAGGGGACTTCCTCTACACTCTCCATTCCCAGATGCTGGGCAAAGCGTTGAAAGGTTAAGAAAACACCAGGAGCAGCAGAGCCAGCATGCACACAGTTGTCAGCTGAATTGAAAAAAATCAATAAATAATCAGGAAGGTGGCACAGGAGGGGAGAGAGCAGACAGGAGTGAGGAGACAACGAGGTATGTAGAGCCAGTCACCATTCCTTGGATGTCCCCACCCTGACCCCTAGGACACCATGAAGGTGGTCTCCCCTTAGTGCTGGGGCTCTCCGGGAAAATGCTGGCTGTCAGGGGCTTTTGCGTGGCTTTGGAAAGTCATGGGCACCAAACCCAACAGTCCGCAGAAATATGAGTGGACGTTCCATGGCAGACGTGCATCAGGTGGTGCTGAGTAGCATTGAATTTTGATACAATTCAGGAGCTGGCTCAGCAAACTAGTTAGAAAAGAGGTTCCTGCTATGCAGCAAAGACGGGTGCTGGTGGGGCTCCCCTTTCTCAAGGTGGAGCTTTGATCTCACTTCAGCCAATGCATGCATTTCTTCCCCAAGTTCAAAGGCACTAGGAAGTAGACAGACCTGCTCTTGGCTGTAAGTATAACCATGAGAGTTGAGCATTCAAAGGGACATGTCTCGGGGAGGCCTCTGCTCCTGTGGTCATGTTTGCAGGGAGATGTTTGGGGTCAGAAGCCTTTCCCGGTCACCAGTGAGCTGCAGGGAGAAAGGGATGACCATGGGGTTTTCACGCCAAGCAAGAGGCCAGGCTTCGTGCAAAGAAGGGCAGCATCTGGTGGCTCACCGAGGCTTTGTCCCAGAGGTAGCCATCACTCAAAAACATCTTAGCCAGCCAGAGTTGTGTTTGAGAGTCAGCTGTGGAAGGTTCAGCAGCAGCCAGCCTCTGCCCACCTTCCCGAGAAATTATCTTTTATAATATGGGAGTTCTCAATATTTGTTCCATTGAACCCAGGATCTAAATAACTTTTCCGTTTGGAGACTGGACCTTTCCCAGCATGTCCTGACCTTCTGCCAGCTCAGGGTCAGTGATGAGAGAAAGGCCCAAGACTTGCTCTGCAGCCATGGCAGAGCTGCCAGGTGGCTTTGCTGAGTAGATGCTGCCAAAAGTGGAGGTGTGAGAGGCCGTGAGCACAACTGGCACTCCCCGAGCTGGCCCAGAAGCCTCTAGAATGGACTGGCTCCAGTGAGATGCTGTGGCTGGACATCAGGAGGAGCAGCAGACGTGGTGCATCCATCCTTAACCCTTTGCAGCGTCATCTCCCTTTGAAGATCCGGATTTTGTTGATGGCCGCCAAGGTGGCCGTGATGTTGGATTCAAAGTCAGCATCGTGCACCCCTGTCTTTCGGAAAGCCCCTGCCGATGGGTTGTTCTCCCAGTAGTGGTGCCAGTTCCCTTTGCTATCTGCCCCGAAGCCATACAAGTCCACCTGTGGAGGCAAAGTGAAGGTGAGAACAGACAACGAGGCAGAAGGTGGAGCCTCCAGGAAAGGGAACTGGCAGGCCTATCCAATGGCAAACATCCAAGGTTTCAGATGGACCTTCTCCAGTTTCCTCGAGCCTCTGGGCTCAGTGAAACCAAAGCAAGCCAAGCAAGGCTCAAGTCCAATGCATCCAGTGGCACCTGGGTGGTAATCACAGGTGTGTGATCCTGAGGAGGCTGGTCTGACCCTAGGACCAGAGCAACCTCTTCTCCAAGACTCCAGAGGGTGGGGAGGTAGGGAGTGGAGAGTTGGCTCTGAAGCCTGGCCAAAGATCCCTTACCTGGCTGGCCCTGTGTGTCAAATCACTTCACTTTTCTCATCTGGAAAATGGGCACAAGTACCAGAACAACAAGAATCAGGTGGTAGGTATTGATTTTATTTTTCCCTGAGGCCAAAATCCACCTGGTTCAGGGGCCTTTGAGGCTAGGGGGTGAAATCCTCACAAGCATGGCAAACACTACCAAACACTTATTCTGTGCCCAGCAACGGCCAGCCTTGTCAAAGTTCAGGTGGACCTTTCTCAGATGTCACCTGGGTAGGTAGGGGGACATCAGGGACACACACATCAGGCCTTGGCTGTAGGAGCACATCACAACTTATAGCAGTGGACAAAAGAATGTCCCTGGAGGGACAGAGCACTGAGGAGAAATGGGCCAAGGACCCCTGAGGTCAGAGGGGCTTTTCCACAGAGGGCATGTCTGAGTTGGGTCTTGGGAAGTGAGAATATGATCAGGAAGTGGACATGTGGAGAGGTCTCTAGGGAGGGACCATGCCATCTGGCTGCGGCCTGGAGGACGGATCTAAGAGAAGGAACAGAGTAGGGGCAGGGGACAGCTCCACAGCAAATGCAACTTCCCAGTAATGCCTGCATGGACACAGGGCAGCCTAGAGCACAGGTATCAGGAGAGGAGGGAAGTCACTGCAGTGACACTTCTGAGGCAGAATGCAGGTCTGTGTCCAGCCCTGTGGAAGCAGAAGGACACCAGGGGGCAGTAGACTGTGGTCCTGACTTGCCCTTGGCAACTGGCACCTTCCTGGGATTCCAACGGTGAGCCAGGCAGGATTGGGATGGGGACAGGCTCTAAGTGACAATCAAGGACACTTCATGCTCTGCCTACCTAAACCCAGGCCAAGGAGGAAGGGAAGGGTTGAGCTGCATTTCTGCTCCTCTGCATCCAGCCTGGCCAATGACAATGGTGGGCAGTGGAAGCCCAGGATGCCTGGAATTCTGGAGAAGGTGGGTTGGGGTGGGGCCTAGGTGCTGGAATTTAACTCTCCAGCTGATTCTAACAATCAGCTGAGGACCGTGACAATAGGTTTACACAATTTTCCCCATCAGCATCTGCTGGTCACTTCACCACTGAGTCTGGGCCTCACCATCCACTGTCCTAGAGCCTTGGGCAATACACAGAATGTGCTAGAACTCCTGCTCTTGAGAAGTGCTGCACCTCCTCAAAAACGCTCGTGGAGACAGGCTTCACAGTCCCAGGTGTGCACAAGGAAGTAACATGAATTCTGGAGGAACCAGGCCTGAGCACCGCCCCTTCTCCAGAGGCCCTTTATCCCCGCACACAGGAGGGCACATACCTCATCACAGATGTGCATAGAGAAGATGACAGAGAGGATGCCGGTGGACGGGTACCGCCCATGGCCCTGCAGCCAGTTGTCAAAGACATACTTGATGAAGGCCGGGTGGTAGATCAGTATCTGTGGAGGAGGATGGGGCCCTGAGTGAGTTCAGTTATCAAAGGACAGGGAGAGCCTAGTGGGTGCCACACACTGTGGCCAGGGGGACACAGCCATCAGTGGCCCTGACAAACACCCCCCGGGCTTGTGAGGTGAGTGCTGGGGAGGATGGGTGTTGTTCATTGCTGACAACACCCTCTAGGGGTGAGCTACAGGGTGAAAAGAGATATGGAGAGAAAAAAGGCAGAGAATGGTGGCCACAGGTACTGGGGGCAAGGGCAGTGTGGACAGTGACACTAAAATAAAATTCTAGGAGACCCGGAAAGTGAGACCTGAGAATCCTCACAGAAGGGTTCTAGGAAACACCGTAAGGTGGAATGGGGACAGGGTCACACTGCGTGAAAGATGCTCACAAGCCTCTTGCTCTGCCTGTGCGCATGATTTCCCACTCCTCTGTCACAGATGGGGAAACAGGTTTAGGGAGGCGAAGCGATGTACTCAATGTCACATAGCCAGCAGTGGCCAAGCTGGGAGGGATTCCTGTGTCACACTTGGCCTTGGTTCATCACCCCAGGGCTGGCTTGAGGACGGTGAAGGGGTTTCTCAGGCAGTAGAGGGAATGCAGGTCCAGGAAGCCCAATCCAAGCCCCCAAAATGGACGGATCTGCAGGTCTCTGGTGAGCGGTTTATCTCTCAGCCTAGTTTTGAGGCACTGAATCTGGGTCTGGTGGCTCTCCCTCCACCAGTTCACCTGTAGAGATACCCACAGGGATTCTTCCTGGGACAGCACAGCCCAAAACCAAGGCTAGGAGACTTCAGTCATAGCTGCGTGTCCCTGGGCAAGTTACCTGTCTCTCTAATTCTATTTAAATATGGTAGAGTGTGCAAAGGGCCACACTACCCAAAGGTGAACGCTTTGCTTCTTTCCTTCTTCCTCTGCCCATTTCTTTGCCAACCCCATACCAGGAGCACATTGCAGAAGATGGAGAAGGGAGAGACAGAGGTGAATCTGGCTTTGAGAAGCTCACAGTACTCAGGAGTGATTCTCAAACTGCAGCCTCCCAGGCTCCCCTGAAGGAGGAAGTAGTAGGTCTGTGTGAACCTGAGGATTCACACCCATGACAAGTTGTCAGGTGCTACTGCTGATCCAGGGACCCCACTCCAAGGATTTGACCTTAGCCATGAATCCACACTAGGGGCCACTGCCTGCACAGGCCTGGAGCTCAGGCTCTTTGCAGCCCAACGTGCAATCGTAAGGAAAGGAGCTGGGAGGAAAAGGGGCTGAGCCCCACTTACCTTTTCCTGTTTCACTTTGATCTTCGGGGGAACAGGGACATAGGTGCTGTGGTTAGGGAAAGAGAAGACAGTTAATGTGGGAAGTGACCACCTGGCCACCAGCAGCAATCAGGATTCTCTGGAAAGTGAGGCAAGGCCAGGAGGACGAGGCCAGGGGAGGCCTCTTTGCCCAGGGTGTCATACTGTCCAAGAGCCACCTCCCTGCAGTAACCCTGCAGCAGACACCAGAGGGCAATCTTGGCTGATTCTAGGATGTGCTGTGGTTTAATGTCCCTGCTCTCCCAGGAAGGTTAAGATAAGGACTTGCTCCAACAGCAACCTGACTGGGGACCAGAGCTGCCTTAGTCTTTCAGGACCAGAGCTCCTGCCCATCAGGTACTGACAAATGCTAAGGCACTAGCTGAGGGTGACCTACAGTTGACCTGTGCTCATCCCAAGAGGTCAGGAGTCCCAGCATAACGGTACAAAAGCAGCCACCACACTGTATTAATTCTAGTGTAATTCAGGCTCCTGAGAGTCCCACGGGACAAGGCACAAGGAGACCACAAAACTGAGGAGGTCACCCGGTCCACCCCTCCCTGTGTGGCCTCACTAACCTGCAGGCACAGTCCCACACAGTTCTCAGAACCCAAGTTCCTGGTGTTAGCTGTGCTCCTACGAGACCTGGCCTAGGACCAGGAGGCCTGGAGACATCTGGGAAAGGAAGCCACTCCTCTGGGAATTCAGCTTAGGAATTGGACCCAGATGGTTGCATGGGCTCTAGGTCAAGTTCAATCTTGGGCAAGTTGCTTGGCCTAGCTTTGGTTTCCTCCCTTTTAGAATGGAGCTAATGAGAACAATATTGTGAGGATTAAATGAAAGGACAAGTTTCACTGCCCCTCACCTCACTACAGTCCAATGGTTGAGGCTAATTTCAGTGGTGTGGACTTTGAAACTATCCTATGTGGCGTCCCTTCCAGTGCGTTCCTCCAAGTTTTTACAGGAGTTTTGGGGAGGCAAACCTTCAAGGTGTGTTGGGAAGTCCTACAGCAAAGCCTGGTAGGAGGTGAGGGGACTGGTTAGAGCTGGACCCCCATGGGAGGCAATGGTGTGCATGCGTGTTGAGGAGGCTTGGAGGGGAGGCCGTCAGAGAGACAGCAGAATGTAAGCGAGTGCGTGGTGGAGAAGGGAGGGTGAGAGGCGATCCGAGAGGGACTCACTGAGAGATGGTGCCTGTGGTGGTGGCACTGATCACCCACTGCAGGTCAGTGATCTTGAAGGGGACCAGGACCATGCTGACGTTCTCCCCCAGCTCCCGGAAGCTCTCGGGATATACAAGATGGTGGGTGGTCTTGCTCCCGACATCCATCTCAAACCCCATGGTGGGTGCCTTGTTCATCCTGGGATGACAAGGGAGAGAGCAATGTGACACCTGCAGGAGCTCCAGAGCCTGAGAGCTTTAGCTGTGTGGTAACCTCAGATGAGGTCCCTTGCTCCTTAGGTCTCAACTTTCCAGGTTTTTTTTTTTTTTTCCTTTTTCTTCAATGAGTTCAAGTGACTCTAACCATCTCCGTAACTGATCACCTGTCACACATAACCACACAAAACAAGTAATTGACGGTCCTTTTTTATGGTCCAGGAAACCTCAGCTCAGACAGATGGTCTCAGCCCACAGAGCTCCCGAGCTATGAACCTGACTCTGTCCCCTCCGTGAACATCCCCACTGGACACCAGCTACCCTGAGAGGCCAGGGAGGGGCTGAGGAAGGAAGTCAGACTTACAGAAATGAGAGGCTGTTCTAGAAGATGGCAGGGGGATACTGAGCCCCACCCCTGCTTGTGCTCCTACTCTAGGACATGAACCCCAGGGTAGACTCGGGGTTTTTTCCTGGAGTGCCTGCTCCACTTGGGGACAGGGAAGCTACTTGATATTAAAAGCATACAGCTCTGTTAGGGCCTAGGTTGCAAATGGGAGATGAATTTGAATGATACAGCAGGGAGTTTCCTATGAGCTCTCCCCTCTTGCCAAGTCTCCCGTGCCAGGCCCCCAGCCCATTGAGGATCACCTGCATATGGGTGGTCCCTGTACCCAGAGGGGTGCTCCTAGTCCACCCCTATTCTGCAATATAGAGTGGAAACTGAGGCCCAGAGAGCAGTGACCCCAGGCCTGGAACCTCAGCCATGATGCTTCCCACAGCTCTAAGGGTCCCTAGCTGTGGGGAAGGGGACTTGGGTTGAGGGCCCGGCACTCACCTCAGCACGAAGTCGTGATTATCTATCTTAGGCCCATACGAGGACTCCCTCAGGTTGCCTGAGTTGCCCACGACAGCGCAGCGCCGGCAGCCCACCGACTTCTTCTTTAGCTCAGGGTCCACATTCCCAGGCACCACTCTGAACAGCTCCTTGATGGTGTCACTCAAGTTGTTGGGCTTCTTCTCCCGCTGCAGCTTCTGTGGCAGAGGAATAAGCAGACATCATAGTGACCATATTGCCTCTGCCCAGCGGGCTCTGCTTCCTGGCTATGGAGCTGCCAGCTGCCAGTTGTAGCTCACTGGGAACTTCTTTGTACTCTTCTATGGGACTCCTAGAGATGGAGGTGTCTAGTCACACCCACCTGCCTATCCAGGAGCCCAAGTGGTGCTCAGGAGACACAGGGAAGAGCTATTTCATTCATTTTCCATGTGTTCGTTGAGTACTTTACTACATGCAAGGGTGTGCTAGCTGCTGGAGACAAAGCTGGCTGATATGTGTCATGGGAAGGGGAAGGGGCCAAGTTCCCATCTTCACTGAGTTTCTGGCCTCACAGGCTCTCATCATCCTTGTCATCTCTCAGATGGAAACAGCCCTCCAACGTGCTCCTCCTTTGGGGCTTACTCTTTCAGGAAGTCCCTCTATCCCCTGAAGGGTCCCAGCAAGAACCTTGAAGGTGCCTGTCACTCCCATCCTGCTCCTGACTGCCTCCAATCCCGGACACCAGGGCCCTGGCTGCAGGCCCTGTTCCTGCCTTCATGAGAGCAGTAGAGGTGGTGCTGGGCCGGCTCTCCAGCTGGGCCAAAGCCTTGCTGGGTGACAGTGGTCAGACTCTCCAGGCCCATTCCGCCTCTGCTGCCCTCACCCTCTTGGTCAGTGCTGCAGCCAGACCAGAAAACCAGCTGTTTGCCAGATGCACAGGGCCTCTGATGCCTGCCTACTAAGGGTGCCTTTTCCAACACCCAGTGCAGGGGCCAATTGCCCTGCCCCAGGACACCCTCTCTGGCTCCAGGCAACCTGAGGTGGGCCAGCCAGCTGCTTGTTCAGGACTGAAGGCTCCCCTGGATGCAGGGCTTTTATAGCCAAAACCAGGATGAATGGGTCACCCACGGGTCCCTGCCTGTACTAATTCTGGGAGGAGCTCCATCCATGCAGTAAAGTGCCCACCTCTGGCTACAGCTGCCTTTCTCACCCACAGACACCGTGAGACATTTCTTAAGCAGACTGTACGTGACCCGTCATCATGTCATGGTAGGTGTTGAATTATTTCAACCTCAAACAAGGAAGGCTGATCTCAGGCTAGACAGGTTGCGTGACTTGATCCTTGATTCAACCAGAATTTGAACCTGGGCTTTTTGCTTTGTTTTTTTGAAACAGGGTCTTACTATGTAGCCCAGACTGGCCTGAAACTCAGGAGATCTTCCTGCCTCAGCCTCCTCCAGAGTACTAGGATTATAGGCCTGCACTACCACATCTTCTGAGCTCAGGCTTTTAGAAATTGCAACACAGTATTATCTCCAGCCCTTGGGGCTAGGGTAGGGGAGGTGGGCTGAAGGGAGCAACTCCCAACCCCAGGTTCAGGGAATGGCTGGGAGAGGAAGGAGTGGCTAGAGGCAGCTTTGGCCACTATCCAGGTGACCAGTGACTCAGACAGATGTGTAGGGAGATCCTGGGGTGCTTGTCCCCACCTCAGATAGATGGCATACACTTTCCAAGGAGGCACAGCAGAGACCCCACTGTCTGGCAAGACAATGAAATGTCTAGCATGGGGGTGTTAGACATGTGCTGTGGTTTCACCCACCCCAAGTCTTCCTGTGTTGCAAGTGAATCCCCATTGCGAGGTGTTAGGAGGACACAAACTTTATCTGACTGTGATGTTTAGAGGTGGGGCCACCTTGATTAGGACAGAAAGTCATCAGGATAGTTCCCTGACTGAGCCCTGGTGGCTTTGTAAGAAAAGGAACACAGACCAGGAGAGCCACACCCACCAAGTCTCTTGCCCTGCAAGTCCTGCTACCTCCAGACTCTGCCAACAAGAATGTCATCAGCAGATGAAGCCCCTTGTCCTTGCATCTTCAGAACTGTGAGCACTTCCTTTTTTTTTTGTCAGCGCTGGGGATAGAACCCAGGGCCTGTTGCATACTAGAAAGGTGCAGTACCACTGAGCAACACCTCGATTCTTTTCTTTTCTTATTATATTCATATGTGCATACACTGTTTGGGTCATTTCTCCCCCCTTCGCCCGCTCCTTCCCTCATCCTCCCTACCCCTAGCTACCAGGCAGAAACTATTTTGCCCTTATCTCTAGTTTTGTTGAAGAGAGAGTATAAGCCATAATAGGAAGGAACAAGGGTTTTTGCTGGTTGAGATAAGAATAGCTATACAGGGAGTTGACTCACATTAATTTCCTGTGCATGTGTGTTACTTTCTAGGTTAATTCTTTTTGATCTAACCTTTTCTCTAGTTCCTGGTCCCCTTCTCCTATTGGCCTCAGTTGCTTTAAAGTATCTGCTTTAGTTTCTCTGTGTTGAGGGCAACAAATGCTATCTAGTTTTTTAGGTGTCTTACCTATCCTCACCCCTCCCTTGTGTGCTCTTGCTTTATCATGTGATCAAAGTTCAATCCCCTTGTTGTGTTTGCTCTTGATCTAATGTCCACATGAGAGAGAACATAGGATTTTTGGTCTTTTGGGCCAGGCTAACCTTACTCAGAATGATGTTCTCCAATTCCATCCATTTACCAGCGAATGATAACATTTTGTTCTTCATGGCTGCATAAAATTCCATTGGGTATAGATACCACATTTTCTTAATCCATTCATCAGTGGTGGGGCATCTTGGCTGTTTCCATAACTTGGCTATTGTGAAGAGTGCCGCAATAAACATGGGTGTGCAGGTGCCTCTGGAGTAACCTGTGTCACAGTCTTTTGAGTATATCCCCAAGAGTGGTATTGATGGATCAAATGGTAGATCAATGTCTAGCTTTTTAAGTAGCCTCCAAATTTTTTTCCAGAGTGGTTGTACTAGTTTACATTCCCACCAACAGTGTAAGAGGGTTCATTTTTCCCCGCATCCTCGCCAACACCTGTTGTTAGTGGTGTTGCTAATGATGGCTATTCTGACAGGGGTGAGGTGGAATCTTAGTGTGGTTTTAATTTGCATTTCCTTTATTGCTAGGGATGGTGAGCATTTTTTCATGTGTTTTTGGCCATTTGAATTTCTTCTTTTGAGAAAGTTCTATTTAGTTCACTTGCCCATTTCTTTATTGGTTCATTAGTTTTGGGAGAATTTAGTTTTTTAAGTTCCCTATATGTTCTGGTTATCAGTCCTTTGTCTGATGTGTAGCTGGCAAATATTTTCTCCTACTCTGTGGGTGTTCTCTTCAGTTTAGAGACCATTTCTTTTGATGAACAGAAGCTTTTTAGTTTTATGATGTCCCATTTATCTATGCTCTTAGTTGCTGTGCTGCTGGGGTTTCGTTGAGAAAGTTCTTGTATATACCTGTTAATTCCAAGGTATTTCCTACTCTTTCCTGTACCAACTTTAGAGTTTGGGGTCTGATATTAAGATCTTTGATCCATTTTGAGTTAATATTGGTATAGGGTGATATACATGGATCTAGTTTCAGTTTTTTGCAGACTGCTAACCAGTTTTCCCAGCAGTTTTTGTTGAAGAGGCTGCTATTTCTCCATCGTATATTTTTAGCTCCCTTGTCAAAGACAAGTTGGTTATAGTTGTGTGGCTTCATATCTGGGTCCTCTATTCTGTTCCACTGGTCTTCATGTCTGTTTTTGTGCCAGTACCATGCTGTTTTTATTGCTACTGCTTTGTAATATAGTTTGAAGTCAGGTATTGTGATACCTCCTGCATTGTTCTTTTGACTGAGTATTGCCTTGGCTATTCATGGCTTCCTGTGTTTCCATATAAATTTCACAGTAGATTTTTCGATTTCTTTAATGAATGTCATTGGAATTTTGATGGGAATTGCATTAAACATGTAGATTACTTTAGGGAGTATTGACATTTTTACTATGTTGATTCTACCAATCCATGAGCATGGGAGATCTCTCTACTTTCTATAGTCTTCCTCAATCTCTTTCTTCAGAAGTGTATAGTTTTCCTTGTAGAGGTCTTTCACATTTTTCTTAGGTTTACACCTAGGTATTTGATTTTCTTTGAGGATATTGTAAATGGAATTGCTTTCATACATTCTTTTTCTCTTTGCTCATTGTTACTGTGTAGAAATGCTAATGATTTTTCTATGTTGATTTTATATCCTGCTACCTTGCTATAGCTATTGATGATGTCTAGAAGCTTCTGAGTAGAGTTGTTTGGGTCTTTAAGGTATAGGATCATGTCGTCTGCAAATAGGGATATTTTGACAGTTTCTTTACCTATTTGTATTCCTTTTATTCCTTCTTCTTGCCTAATTGCTCTGGCTAGGAATTCCAGTACTATGTTGAATAGGAGTGGAGATAGTGGGCATCCTTGTCTGGTTCCTGATTTTAGAGGGAATGGTTTCAGTTTTTCTCCATTAAGTATAATGCTGGCTGCAGGTTTGTCATATATAGCTTTTATAATGTTGAGGTACTTTCCTTCTATTCCTAGTTTTCTTAGAGCTTTTATCATGAAATGGTGTTGGATCTTATCAAAGGCTTTTTCTGCATTAATTGAGATGATCAAGTGGTTTTTATCTTTGCTTCTGTTAATGTGGTCTATTATTTTTATTGATTTTCATATGTTGAACCACCCCTGCATTCCTGGGATGAAGCCTACTTGGTCGTGGTGAATAATCTCTTTGATGTGCTGTTGAATTCGGTTTGCCATTATTTTGTTGAGGATTTTTGCGTCAATGTTCATTAAGGAGATTGCCCTATAGTTCTCCTTTTTGGAGGTGTCTTTGCCTGGTTTTGGGATAAGTGTAATACTGGCTTCAAAAAATGTGTTAGGCAGTTTTCCTTCCCTTTCTATTTCGTGGAACAGTTTAAGGAGGGTTGGTATCAGTTCTTCTTTAAAGTTCTTTTAGAATTCAGCAGAGAATCCATCAGATCCTGGACTTTTCTTTTTAGGGAGACTCTTGATTGCTGCTTCAATTTCATTTTGTGTTATAGATCTATTCAGGTGATTAATTTCCTCTTGGTTCAGTTTTGGATGATCATAAGTATCTAGAAATCTGTCCATTTCTTTAAGATTTTCGAATT